GCAGTCTTCCGCGTTCCACAGTGAGGCGGCAACACGGACAGACCGAGAGGACAGCCTTGTGGAGTCCTGACGGCCTGATCCACAGAGCCACAGCAGGGTAGCACCCACCTAAGGGCCTGGGAGGCCTCGCCCACAGCAAGGGGTGAGAGCCGGCGGCAGAGTAGCCGCGCCGCCACGACACCGAATGTGGCCTCACGAAGAGGAGCTGCGTGACGCCGAGTGTCTCCTCCACGTTGCAGATCCAGGAAAACATCACCACACGCCTCTGCCTCGTCCAAGCAGTCCCAGCGTGGCCGCACGCGCTAGCCCACAAGCTGAGCCCGCAGCCCCCTCACCACTGGAAAGAGCGTGTTAGACCCAGAAGTCACTGCTGTGCCGTGCAGGAGGCGCCTTGAGCGTTCAGCCAGAATAGTGCTCAGTCAGACAGCGGTTGGTCAGGGCAGCAGAGCCGGACGGAGCCTTCCCAGGAGCCTCCTCCATCCCACCCTCCGGAGCAGGGGAGGAGGTGTTCGGGGACAGGCAGCCCCGTGGGCGTCTGAGCGCAGGCCCTCGCCCGCTTCCTGCCCTCCCCTTCACATCACTGCTATAAGCTGCTCTTTCCCAATGCTTACATTGTGCTCTTTACTGTTGTTCTACCCTTTTCCCCCCAAGCAACGCAGGCCACTGCTGTAACAGCAGTGACCACCGAGACTGGGGCCAGGCAGGCTTAGTCCACACGAGCAAACCAGGGTCCTGTCTACTGGATTTCTCAGGAAATTTGGCAACTGAAATCATAAACAAAACTCTCGAAACCTGCTCTGGGAGTCCTCTGGCCTCTCTGGATTTTCTGCCTCAGCTCAGTTTTGAGATTCAACCTGCAGGCTATAGCTGACAGTGAGTATCTCAACACCTGCCAGTTTGTGGAAGATTCAGTTAAAAGCTCGCCCTGTGGCCCCCTCCCTGGCTGCATCCGGACTTGTGGGTCTGGGTACAGACTCATTCCTCCAAAAGCCGCAAGCTAGGGAGTCCAGCAGCAGCAGTCCTGTCGCTAGAGTCCCTCGTGGTCCCCACAGTCACACTGCCCACAGAGAAGGAGCCACAAAGAGGCCTTTCAGAAACATGACCTGACAAAGCACATGTGGGCACACTGTTGCTAGCTGTTAGCGAGGTGCTTACGTCAAAGGCATAATTTCGCTCTTGTG